TAAACCAGAGAAGTCACAGGTCATATCTGCGGAGCGGCGATGGTTGCGAAATAGCTCAGTTTAATGCCATACTGTCAAACATTCTAGACAAAGCAATAACATCTCCATCTGAAAAGTTACACAGCGCAGCTTTATAGGGTCACGGTGTCAGTTACTGGTATTTATTTGTTTTTCACTTATTTTCCAAAACTTACTCGCGATATATTTAGACCGTCTTGGGAGCTAACCTCTATCTCCGTGTTAATACGTGGAAGAGTTTCTGGAAGTGTCTAAACATGTTTATTAGCGCTGGTTTCCTAACGACGCTGACTTCTCCGATGATGGATTCGCTGCGGAGAAAAGAAGTGATTTTGTGCAATATTTCACTGGGTTTTGCATAATTAGCCACGAGAAGAAGAAGCAGCCTTGGAAGGAGCAGGGGCCAAGAACGTGTTATATTTAGCACTGGAGCTAATGAATGAGATGAGTTCTATTGATCTGTGAGGCTTCATTACAAATACACTGTGATGCTCTGATTAGTGTTGGAACATACCCACTGCATACAGACCTCTACATATAATTACATTTGCTTGACTGGTGTAAAGGTGCACTGCGTAGCTTTTCTGGTATAGAGTCCGTCACTAGGTTGTCTGTCTGATCTGTGGAGAAGCGAGCCCACTCACAGTAAGAATGCAAGTCGAAAAAATCCATGTTATTGAGTAAATGCAAGATGGATATGTTCAATGCCATCCCGGGACTTTTTGGGCAAAGCAACGACATCTCCATGGAGACAAGCAGTTTTCAGACCCTCCACCAAAAAAGTTAAACAGTGCACCTTTAAAACATATTGTATTTTTAATAAGAAGTAGCAGTTATGGCGTCTGTGAGAGTTATCAGTTTTAATCAGAGTTTTTGCGAGTCGGTTTCACTTCGTGGAAACCGTCTGACCTCGCAGCATTAGATTTCGATCACTCGATGGTAGATGGGTACTTTTTTTATTTAACCAAGCACTGCTATTTGGTCATGACATATGTAATGTGCCAAATCTCGTAGGAAGAAGGACAATAACGTCTTTCCCCTTGATAAAATTCACCAAACATTCTCTTTGTTCCAGCTTTAAATCCTCGATCTCAGGAATCGTAGCCAACACAGAATGTCTGTCTTCGTCTACATCCATCTCGACCGTTTTGTTTACTATTGTGCTGTACCACAAAAGGGACCCAGACAGGCGCTTGAGTCTGACGTCATGGCTTCACAGCTCTTCTCTGATTGGTCGGTGCGTGGTCTACAACTTCCAGGATTCTTGCAAACCATTTAGTGTATTCGGATTCCTGACCTAGTCGCTGGAGAGAAATTAAATTGAGCGGAAGCACTGGGTGGTAAGTTTTTGCATCATGGCTTAAAGAAACACTGTGTACGTTTCAGCTTGTTGGCATGGAGATGTTATGTTCCACAGTACTGCGTTAAATTCATTTTTCTTTAATTTTTTCAAAAGTGCAGAAGTATTACCTATGGCTTCAACTTGAGTAATATATAATACAGTTAGTATCATGGCTTAAAGAAATACTTTACTTTTCAGCTTGTTGGCATGGAGACGTTGTTGCTTTGCCTGGAATGTTCCACAGTATGGCATTATCTATTTATCTCATGTTAATCTGTATTCGATGCGTGTTTATTGTTTAAATATATTATCACTTGTTTTTTTCTCAATACAAGATGAGTATAATGCTATATTGTGGAACATTTTTGTGGACTCGACGACAGAAAAGTTACATAGTGAATCTTTAAGCATACTTTTGATATACCATACATATATTACCTATATATTGCATTTTAAATGCATTATTATATTCTGAAGCACTTCTGTTTCAGTTTATCATAGATATTGTGTATCTTTTTTTTTATTTTTTTATTTTTTTATTATTTAATTTATTATTTAATTTAATCTAATTGATTCAGTAGATATATTAATGTTAAAATATGCCTTTTTTTTTTTTTTTTTTTTTTAAACAAATGAAGTTCAGTCCATTAATTACTTTGACAAATAAAGCTTTCATAGTTCCCCTCCCCTGTTCAGATCTCAAAGCCTCTCCAGCTTTTTGTTGTTTGGTCATTTATCCGTTTAGTGTCCACTTGTTTCAATGACTTTTACGACTCTTCTCTTTTCTCCGGGCCACTCCTCTCTCTCCCTCTCCCCTTCTCTTTCCCCTCTATTCCCTCTGCTCCCATCTCTTCTCTCTCCTTCTCTTTTCCACTTTTGATTGATCACTCCCTCTTTCCCCTTCTCCCAACTCTCTCTCTCTTTCTTTCCCCCTCCTCTCTTCTCTCACTCTCTCTCTCTCTTTCTCCTCTTTGCAGCTCTGCTCGTGGGTGGCTCGGAGTGTCTTCTTTTTGTCATCTTTTATCACTCTTTTATCCCTCGTTTCCATGCCTGGGAAAAGTGCGTATCTTGAATGGGGGGCGGTCCTTGCACTTTAAGGACACAGAGGTTTGATTTATCAGCCCTGGGTCAGGCAGCGTCAGATGAATGCTTCAGAGCTGGTGGGAGAGAGAGGAGCTGTGCCACACACGAGACGAGGAATGGCACGATTTCCACCAGTCAAAACACAAGAATTGTTTGTTTTTCTAAGAGAGGCCTGAAACATTTTGGTGATCAAGGGGTGGTTTTTAGAATATACTATGCTGGTTAAGGAGAAGGTATTATGCAAAATTGATTTTTGAGCTTTTTTACTACATTATAAAGTCGTTCTTTCATCAAAAACATGTCTGTGGAGGCAGAGGTGGGGACCCGCAAGTCGTGACTTGCACTTAAGTCAGACTTTGAGTCACTCATTTTAGGCCTTGAGACTTGACTCGATAAAATGGACTAAGACTTGGTACTCGGAACTTGAAGGTCAAGTGACTTGGGACTTGACTCGGACTTGAGGCTTGTGACTAGAGAAAACTTGAAGCACCTTTCAATCTGAATTCTTTCTATTCTGAACATAATGATTCAAACTAAGATCTTGTCAAGACTTTCAAAAAGGAAAAAATTACATTTCTTCAACTCGTACATACTTTATAAATAGTCATATATAAATATACTATGATTTTTAAGTATAATTTATCTTTGGTTTAAAGACTTGAAATGACTTGAAGCTCAAAGCAGATGGCTTGGACTTGACATGAACTTATGGGCCAATGACTTGAGACTTGACTTGGATTTGCCTGTATTTGACTTGGAACTTGTCTTGGACTTGAGGTCAAAGACTTGAGACTTACTTGAGATTTGCAAAACAATGACTTGGTCCCACCTCTGTGAAGAGGTTTTAGACGTCATCCATACATGAGTGAATGTTTAGGCTATCTCTCCTTAACTGTACGAGCCTGTACGTTGCTCCGCCCACAAGCCTACATCACCCTTGCTCTCGCACAACAATAGGCTCTGTTCACACTTACATCACAAACCAGGAAAATGTTTGGGCTACGTTCAGACTGCAGGGCTTCATGCTCAACTCAGTCGTTCACATTTCCAATTAAATGCAATGCTTTTTCAAAACAATAAAAGGTAATATGGTGATCTAAATATGTTTAAGCAATAAATACCACACAGAAGAAAAATACACCCTCTTTAAATTAAATATCTGCTATACTTGTGTGATCCAAATATAATAAAACAAAACACAAATCATTGTTTCATGCCAGAAAATGCATTTAGGTTACATAAAGCTTGGAATGGTTAAAGGGACTGTGTATATCTGACATTTAGTTTAGTCCATACAGTGTAGTTTTGTGAAGGGGAAATGGAGAAGAAAAAAGAGTGATGAATGTTTATTTTAAAGGGCATTATGTTGGATGAGAACCATAAGGAAGCAATAACCGAGGATAGACCGGTTTATCGACTCCCCCAGACAGCTGTTTGTCTGTCCTGGTTCAACATTAGAATGAGACATGTTTGCAGGGCTGACAGGTCAGCAGAAAAATGTCTTCACTCAAAATCAGGTTAGGCCCTTCACTTAACGAACAGTCCTGATCATGGGTTTCAGCTTCCTGTTTTATGCAACATTTTGACTTTTTCCCATTCAAAAGATAGAATATTTTATTTTCATCACTCTGAAACCCACAGATATCAGAGGCTTGTATATGATGCATTATGCTTAAACAGTAACCTCCTCTTACCACCAATATATAGGTTATGTTTACAAAATTAAGAAACCAAAATGGAAACCACTTTTTTAAAGTCAAAGAAGAAAGTTTTGTTGAATATATCTTTCCTATTTTCCACTTAGCAGCTGATGTCATCAACATTCCCTGGGAGTGTGATGCTAACTGAAGGCACTACTCTGTCAGAGGCTCTATTCGACTTTAAACTGACCTTTATTTTAACACAATCTGACCATAAAGAACTGCATTGACCAACAATTTTTTCAATCACTTCTAAAAATGTGTTGTTTCAGTCCATTTAGTATTTTTTCTTGAGTTTTAAGACAATCTTAACCCCTTAATGCCTGAATTTATATAGATGCACATTAAAAAATGTTTTTTGTGTGTTTTTGCCTTTGGGTATGTTGCAAATTTGCAACAACGAAAAACAAGTGCTTGCCAAAGGTTCCTAGGAAGGTACTGCACATGCACTAACTGGCACTGGGGGAATGCAGCTGCTATCTCGGCTTATATCTTGATCCAAACAGTTTGTTGCATATTTGTGACAGTTGGCGTTAAGTGGCTAAATTAAGCTTTATTTCTGACCATAAAAAACTGACTTAACAGGTGAGATGCATAACTAGCATTAACCAACAATTAGTTAGTTTTCAATTGATAACAAAGTCCCAAAAATGTGTTGTTTGAATCTATTTTCTATATTTTCTTGAGTTTTCAGACAATCTTTTTTGACAGTGTTTCCTAACGTGTGCACTGTGTCATCATGGTAACTGCTGCACATTCCACCACAGAGATATCAGTGCATCTTAATCTCCTCTTCAGTGTATAACTCAACTGTCTTCATAACGCATTACCCTGACGCAGTAACCTGCAGCACTCACCCGCCTGGTTGGTCGTCACGGTGACAGACACGGCCTGCTCCGGGCCCGGACTCTGCGTGGACACCCCGTTCACCGCCCACACTTCGAAGGTGTAGTTGGTGTGGGCCTGGAGCTCGGTGATGGCGACGCGAGTGGAGCGAAGGCTGAGCTGCTGGGGGCTGAAGGTGACTCCGCTCCCGCAGGGCACACAGCGGCGTCCCTCTGACCCGCAGCGTTTACACACCACGTTATAGGTCAGGTCCTGTCGTCCCCCTGAACTGCGAGGGGCCGACCACTCCAGGGTCACCGAAGTCTCGTTCACGTTGGAGATGAGGTGGAGCGGAGCAGTGGGAGGACCTGGTGAGAAAAAATATGACAAGATTGTAAGTATGGATGTAACGATATCCAAATCTCCTGATACGATATTTTCACGAGATGCACAATATTTGTTGTGATATTTTGTGTAGTCTGACAAGTGTGTGCTACTTTTCTGTTATAATCGAAACAATTAAAAGCGCTTAATAACTGTTTTCATCCTGCAGATTGGACTGAAACAGAGCAAAGGATCATGGTATATGTAGTTCTCACTGTTTTTAGCTGTTGCTGCACTGTTACTATCACTATAATCTATTTAAGCAAAGAAATATGATTATTTGTGATGGCCCACGATATTATGGCCTTTGATGATATGATTACTGTTATTGTGACATCCCTAATTGTAAGTATGGGTAAAAGATAAATCGCAATCAAGTGCCTACTCATTGTCTTGGTGGTTTTCAGATTCTAGAATGTGATCATGTCATACTCGCAGAGGGGCAAGAGACAGTTTTCCCTATTGATAACATTATATCTTACCATAAAATATCCAAAAGGTTCATTCACAAATGCTGAACCTGATCATTTTTATCAGTGTCTGGATATACCGACCGAGGTCTGACTGGACCCCATCGGGTTCAGAGGGGTTTGGATTAGGGATGGGCATTCGATGAAATTTTCTTAATCGATCGTCGGAAGAATTAACGATCGATTATCGATTAATCATTAAAGTTTTTATATTAAAATGATCATCATTATTATTACTATCTGCACTACTAATCTGCATAAATAAATTCAACTTTACGACATATAAACCGTAACGACTCTAGAGCCACATCAGCCTGTTTGACATTATAATGTGTTTAATTCAGTTTTGCGCAACTCTCACAGAAATGAAACTTAAAACCACATCGCTAATTTGCATAAACTCAGCGAAGATAAAACTACAGCTCTTGTGCGCTGATGCGGTCAATTTCTGTCAGATTAAAAGACATGACTCAGTGGAATACAGTTTAGTGTGACCATATTTGCGTTTGTCAAAACCAGGACACCGTACGGGGGGAGGGAGGTGGGGACTCGTCATCGACATTGCGCGACTCTCACCTGGTAAAGCTTTTTCCCACTGGACACCAAAACATATGTGCTGCTTTGTAAACTGTGCACATGGACTCACACTTGTCCCGAACGCAACGGAAAGCGTGGAATTTCTTGTACAAATCATCGTTAAATACGCATTTGCGTTGCAGACTGACCGACTGTTTGTGTTTGCTCGCTCCTTCTGAGTGCAGAGAGACACATGTACGGACCCCTGTTTGGTCACGCTACGCACAGCAACCTACATTTGGTTTGTCGATTAAAATTAACGTAATCGATGAAATTCTTAATGATCAATTATCGATTAATCGATGAATCATGCCCATCCCTAGTTTGGATAAATATTTAGAACTTATGTGTGGGCTCAGGTTGCACTCAGACACATCAGCGCATCATCTGTTTCCTGTCTACAATAAAACTCGCTTTGTAAAATGACTCTTAAGTGTTCAAAAGATTAGAGCACTGCACTTCTAGTCAAAACTGTCCATCCATCCATCCATTTTCTTCCGCTTATCCGGGGCCGGGTCGCGGGGTCAGCAGTAGTCAAAACTGTGTTATTATTCTTTGTGAAATGTGGTGCAATACTTCAGATACGTGATTTGTAAAGCATAAAAGATTGGCGATAAAGTCCACAGGAAGTAGGGTCACTATCGCGAATCTGCAGCTTCACCTCGATTTGAGCGCTGTGTGGATGTAAACAGACACACGTGAAATACTTGAATCTTTTTACTTTTAAATAACACCTCAAACCGGACTAATAGCGCGGTTTTGTGGACTGGATGTCATGGATAATGTGGATGAGACGATGCACTTTAAATTTACCACTTTACGAGAGGTGAGGAAAAAAAGTCTTCTCATTATATTCGCTATTTCCCGAGTTTGTATTTTACATCTCCTACGTGTGTTAATTGTGTCAGGTTCGATTGATTAAGGTATTAGACACAAATATCTTAATGCTTGTCGAGCTCGGGCCACTGCTCTGTCGGACGCGGGCCGGGCTTGAACAGAAAAAATTGTCCCGATCCGCACTCAAGTGTCTAGACCCATGTACTCACTGCCTGGCAACACGAATCTGAACTTGAACAATATTAATTTTAGCTGCCCCCCATCTGTATTTAATAACACTGCTCTATAGAATCTTGTGATGAAAACTAACAATCGCTGCGTCACACTCCCCCTCTACATTTCTATATACAGTCTGTCGTAGGAGCGTAACAAAATGAGACAGCTTACAGTCATTGACCACACATTGAAAGCTATGGCCTCTCATATTCCCTTTTAATGTGCGGCTTGTTACTGAGAGGGTGGGTCTGGTTTCCTCTCAGTTAATTCAGCATGATAAATGTAACACAATAGGCCTGCAGATGCCCGTACAATACTACAATGTCATGTCACATACACAGTCAATGAAATCACAGGAATACTCGCTCGAGCAAGTATTTCTATACGGGTAACGCGAGTCTGTTGTTGTGGATTTGGTTTAGTTCTGCTGTTATAGACCTGGTTTAGTCCTGGTTTAGTTTTGGTGTAGGCTTCATTCTTGTTCAAACATTGGGGTGATTTTGGATAGGGTTCATTTTTGGTTTTGCCCTTGTGTAGACCAAGTTCAGTCCGGTTTAGTTCTTGTTCAGTCCTGGTTTAGTCCTGGTTTAGTCCTTATTCAGTCCTGGTTTAGTTCTGGTTTAGTCTTGGTTTAGTCCTCATTCAGTCCTGGTTTAGTCTTAGTTTAGTTCTTATTCAGTTCTGCTTTAGTCCTGATTTAGTCCTGCTTTAGTCTTGTTTTAGTCCTGCTTTAGTCTTGTTTTAGTCCTGATTTAGTCCTGCTTTAGTCTTGGTTTATACCTGGTTTATTCCTGGTTTAGTTCTAGTTTGTTCCTAGTTTAGTCCTGATTTAGTCCTTATTCAGTCCTGCTTTAGTCCTGATTTAGTCCTGTTTTAGACCTGGTTTAGTCCTTATTCAGTTTTGCTTTAGTCTTTGTTTTAGTCCTGCTTTAGTCTTGTTTTAGTCCTGCTTTAGTCCTGCCTTAGTCTTGTTTTAGGCCTGCTTTAGTCCTGCTTTAGTTCTGATTTAGTCCTTATTCAGTCCTGATTTAGTCCTGGTTTAGTTCTAGTTTGTTCCTAGTTTTAGTCCTGATTTAGTCCTTATTCAGTCCTGCTTTAGTCCTAATTTAGTCCTGGTTTAGACCTGGTTTAGTCCTTATTCAGTCCTGCTTTAGTCCTGATTTAGTCCTGGTTTAGACCTGGTTTAGTCCTGGTTCAGTTCTGGTTTAGTCCTTATTCAGTCTTGCTTTAGTCCTGGCTTAGTCCTGGCTTAGTCCTGCTTTAGTCCTAGTTTAGTCCTGGTTTAGTCCTGGTTTAGTCCTGGTTTAGTTCTTATTCAGTCCTGATTCAGTCCTGGTTTAGTCCTTACCCAGTCCTGCTTTAGTCCTGCTTTAGTCTGCTTTAGTCCTGCTTTAGTCCTGCTTTAGTCCTGATTTAGTCCTGCTTTAGTCCTAGTTTAGTCCTGGTTTATTTTTTGTTCAGTCCTGGGATAACCCAACACTGCATCCATTAAAATGTCTCTCTTTATTGCCATGAACGTGTTTGGATGTGCATTGCTTTCAAACATCATGTAACTGACTTAACTCTCTCCCTCTCTCCTCCTCTCTCTCTTTCTCTCTCTCCTTTCTCTCATGTGATCTGTTGCTCGCTCGCCCCTTGCTCTCCCTGACTAATGAAGCACACGCGAGCTGCCCAGAGCGATCGATGTTGGGTGAAAAATGAAAACTGAAATTCATCCCATAACGGAAATTAATTATCAGTTATTTTTGGAGGAGGGCGGCGACGATGAGTGATTTCGCAGCGTTACCGGGGGCGACGGAGAAGTGGGAGGGGCAGAGCGATCGTCCTGAGACACTGTTATTGATAGATGTAAAAATTTACCCATGATGCACCCTCACAGTTACTTAAAGTTGTGAGTTTTGCTGGCAGGAGTAGATAAAGCCGTTTTAGTTTGGACCTGTTTATTTTTGTTTACATTATCCTTAGTTTAACCCTGGTTTACCCCAGTATATGTAGACCTAGTTTAGTCATGCTATTGACCCGGGTCATTCCTGGTTCAGTGATACAATTGATGGACCTGGTTTAGTCCTGAGTTAGTCCAAGGATAGACCTCCTTTAGTCAAGAGTATATAAAGAGCAGATTTAGTCCTGGTTTGGTCCTGATTTAGTCCAAATATAGTCCTGGCCTAGACCTTGCTTAACTTTAGTCCTGGTGTCGATCTTGTTTAGTCCTAGTCCTGATTAAGTCGTGATTTAGATCTGGTTTAATCCAGGTTTAGTCCTGGTTTAGCTCTTCTACAGTCCTGTTCTAGTTCTGATTTAGTCCTGGTTAAATATTGGTTCATTGCATAGACCTGGTTTAGTCCTATTTTAGCCCTGGTTTACTCTTAGTTTAGTTCTTATTTAGCCCTGGTTTAGTCCTGGTTTAACTTTATTAAGCTCTGGTTTAGTTCTGGTTTAGACCTGTTTTAGTCCTGGTTTAGTGCCAGTTTAATCTTGATTTAGCTCTGGCTTAGTCCAGGTTTAGTCCTGTTTTAGTCTTAAGTTAGCTCTAGTTTAGTCCTGTCTTATCCTGTTTTAGTCCTGGTTTAGCCGTTCTTCAGTCCTGGTCTAATTCTGATTTAGTTCTAGTTAAATATTGATTTATTGCATACTCCTGATTTAGTCCTGGTTACGTTCTGGCTTAGTCCTTGTTTAGTCCTTGTTCAGTCCTTGTTTTGTCCTGATTTAGCCCTGGTTTAGTCTTGAGTTAGCCCTGGTTTAGTCCTGTCTTGTCCTGTTTTAGTCCTGGTTTAGCCATTCTTCAGTTCTGGTCTAGTTCTGATTTAGTTCTAGTTAAATATTGATTTATTGCATACTCCTGATTTAGTCCTGGTTTAGTTCTGGCTTAGTCCTTGTTCAGTCCT